GTTTTTTTTTTTTTTTTTATCTTGGCCATGCTGTGTAGCTTTCGGGATCTCAGTTCCCCCACCAGGGATTGAACCTGGGCCACGGCAGTGAAAGACCAAATCCTAACCACTAGACAACAGGGAATCCTTGGAATAGATTTTTATCTTCTGTCTTTATTAAGGAAAGGTAAGTTTATTTATACCATAATTTTTGCTTTGATTCTGCCCTGCCTTTTATTAGCTGTTTTGATAGTAATAATGCTTGAAATCAATGGCTTCCAGCACCCTTCTGCAGTAGAGATGTTTCCTTCAAGTGATTTGAAATATGCTTCCTATAATTTCTATGCTTTGCCCTTTTGTCACTGAAGTAATAAAAATAACTAATATTCTTCTTCCACAATGGCCCTTCAAATATTTGAATGAACCTATTGTTTCCTCACCCCATCTTCCCTCTTCAAGCCAATTAAACTTAATCCTTTTTTTAAAGAAAAAAATTATTAATTAAATAATTTATTTATTATTTATTTATTTTGGCTGCACCAGTTCTTACTTGAGGCATGCGGGCTTCTTAGTTGCGGCATGCATGCAGGATCTCGTTCCCTGACCAGGGATCAAACTTGGGCCCCCTGCATTGGGCGTGTGGCGTCTTACCCACCGGACAACCAGGGAAGTCCCGTTAATCCTTTTTTTTTTTTTTTTTTTGTGGTACGCGGGCCTCTCCCCGCTATGGCCTCTCCCATTGCGGAGCACAGGCTCCGGATGTGCAGGCTCAGCAGCCATGGCTCACGGGCCCAGCCGCTCCGCAGCACATGGGATCTTCCCGAACCGGGGCACGAACCCGCGTCCCCTGCATCGGCAGGCGGACCCGCAACCACTGCACCACCAGGGAAGCCCCCGTTAATTCTTTAACTATTTCTCGTAGAGCTAAGAATTTAAGAGTCTCTGATGCTCCATGACTCTCCAAAATTATGGTGCATAGAAATAATGAGAGCAAACATTTATTGAGCTCTTACTCTGTGCCAGATACTTTAATAAGTACTTTGCATGTATTAATTCATTTAATTTTCACAACAGCCCTATAAAGCAAGCTTATTATTACCTTCATTTTAAAAATGAGGAAACTAAGCCACCAAGAGGATAAATAACTTTCCTAAGGTGACCCAGCTCACAGGTGGCACAACTGGTTTTTCAACCGAAACAGTTTTGTTCCAGACAACATAGTCTTAATCCCAATGCTGCTCTACTCCTCAGGGTCCCAAACCTATGTTATGACTGATAGTCTGGAGCTCCTAACTCTAAAATAGCATAAGTTCAGTGGAACACTAGTGCCTGCAAAATGGTAATAGGTCTTTCTTGTACAAGGTTCCATGACCAAAAATGTTTGGGAAATTCTGAGTAAGATAGCATTGAAGAGGTTTCCACTCTGCAGGGCTTTCCATCGTCTTTAATATTTTCACAGCCATGATGGCTTTCCAAAATCTAGATGCAGAATTTTCCAGCCATATTTACCCTTGTAACTCTCTAGTAAAACATCTACTAACTTGTGGCATTCAACAGAATATTGCTTAGAAAACACTGCCCAAAAGTTGTAGCTTAGGTTTTTCCTGTTTCTTTTTCTTTCTTTTTTTTGCCATTTATTACCTTTGATTTCATTTTATATGGTCTAGAAGTTTAGTGTCAACTACACAGTTTAAAGGGTTTGTCTGTAATTTTATCTAACACTTACTTCTCCATCTCGTTCAGATACCATGAAAGACATGAAGTACACAAACACACTGTGGCCACCATAATCCCTTGGTTCTACTAAGCTACTCTGCTTTTCTTTAATGGCGCTGCCCTGACTCTTGGTCATTGCCATTTGCTATAAATGTTCACAAAATATACTAAGTTTTGGGGTGTTTTTTTTTTACTTTTTTGGGAAAAAAATTTTTAAATCAAGGCTTTTGACTGTCTCTAGTCATCTTTCTCCTCTTCACATGTTCTCAAAGATTTCTGATAGGTTTCATAGAACACATGTGGAAAGAGTAAAGGAATAGATATCGTATGAGCGTCATCTGTGGGCTCAGTCATACCACGCATTTCACATAGCACACAAAATCTCATGGCCCCAGGGAGGTATGGATCATTAGCCCTACTTTATAGGTGAGTAAACAAAGGCGCACATGTTAAACAACCTGTCAAGGTCAATGAACTCTGGGATTCAACCATCCCACATACAGTCCATGCTCCTTGGGTGCATTCATCCTAGTAATTTAGCTACTTGTGGCTTATTTATTAGGTTGAAAACATCTTGTTAATTTACTATTATTTAATTTATTAACCCTGACTAAGGCCTGACCTCTTACAAGGAAATGCTAATGAACCGTATAACACAAAGACTAGAATGTGACATTCCTATATTTTACAGATATATTCTTTCTTACAACCAGCTTGTCATTCAGACAGCACTCTGTCTCTCTTTTCTACTCATCTACTCATTTCTTGCTCTCATTCAGGCAGACATTTTCTTCCTCCTTTTGGATATCCAAGTTTAATTTCTTTAAAATAGACTATTTTTTAGATCAATTTTATATTTACAGAAAAAATTGAGAGGATAGTACAGAGAATTCCCATACACTCTATATCCGGTTTCCCCTAATATTAATGTCTTGTATTAGTATGGAACAAGTGTTACAATTAATGAACCAATGTTGATACCTTATCACAAACTAAAGACCATACTTTATTTGAATTTCTTCAGTTTATATCTCATGTACTTTTTCTGCTCTACAATCCCACTCAGGACGCTATATTATGTTTAGCTGTCATATTCCTTTAGGTTCCTTTTCACTGTGACATCTTCTCAGACACTTCTTGTTTTTGATGACCTTGACAGTTTTGAAGAGTACTGGTCAAGTATTTTGTATTCTGTCCCTTAACTGGAGTTTGCCTGATGTTTTCCTCATGGTTAGACTGGGGTTATGGGTTTGGGGGAGGAAGGCCACAGAGGTAAAAGGCCATTTCTTCAAGTCACTCTCCATGGCCCAGACCTAAGGAGTGGGGAGCTATGCTCTCCTTCTCTGACTCCAGAGGATCTACTTAAATTATTTGGCATTCCTCTGCCTGGGAGATTGGTCTCTTCTCCATCTATTTATGTATTGCAGTCACCAGGTAGAATTTAATTAAAGTACTAGGGGTAAAAAATTACTTGCTTCAAAAATATTCCTTCTTAAAATCCAGGGCAAAAGTGTTGTTTTTTGTTTGTTTGTTTTTAAAGACCTTCTTGTTAAAATTAATTTTGGCTGCATTGGATCTTTATTGCTGCACACAGGCTTTCTCTAGTTGCAGCGAGCAGGGGCTACTCTTCGTTGCAGTGCGCGGACTTCTCATTGCGGTGGCTTCTCTTGCTGCAGAGCACGGGCTCTAGGTGTGCGGGCTTCAGTAGTTGTGACTCGTGGGCTCTAGAGCGCAGGCTCAGCAGTTGTGGCACATGGGTTTAGTTGCTCTGCGGCATGTGGGATCTTCCCGGACCAGGGCTCGAACCCATGTCCCCTGCATTGGCGGGCGAATTCTTAACCACTGCGCCACCATGGAAGCCCCCGAAAGTGTTTTTGAAAAGTCTAATTTCCTTTGCTCATATTTAAATTAAATTTCACTCTTAGTTGAACATTTAATATATATATTGAAACTGAGTCTGCCAGCAATCCCACTACTGGGCATATACCCTGAGAAAACCATAATTCAAAAAGAGTCATGTACCACAATGTTCATTGCAGCACTATTTACAATAGTCAGGACGTGGAAGCAACCTAAGTGTCCATCAACAGATGAATGGATAAAGAAGATGTGGCACATATACACAACGGAATGTTACTCAGCCGTACAAAGAAACGAAACTGAGTTATTTGTAGTGAGGTGGATGGACCTAGAGTCTGTCATACAGAGTGAAGTAAGTCAGAAAGAGAAAAACAAATACCGTATGCTAACACATATATATGGAATCTAAAAAAAAAAAAAAGGTTCTGATGAACCTAGGGGCAGGACAGGAATAAAGATGCAGATGTAGAGAATGGACTTGAGGACACAGGGAGGGGGAAGGGTAAGCTGGGATGAAGTGAGAGAGTGGCATGGACATATATACACTACCAAATGTAAAACAGATAGCTAGTGGGAAGCAGCCACATAGCACAGGGAGATCAGCTCGGTGCTTTGTGACCACCTGGTGGGGGGGATAAGGAGGGTGGGAGGGAGGCTCAAGAGGGAGGGGATATGGGGATATACGTATGCATATATCTGATTCACTTTGTTATACAGCAGAAACTAACACAACACTGTAAAGCAATTATACTCTAATAAAGATGTTAAAAGAAAAACAAACAAACAAAAAAACTGAGTCTGACACAAAGATGACTCACACAAGGCTCCTTGCCTGAAGAAACTATCCTCGGGGTCAAACAGAAACGTATACATTTCACAAGGCAAATAAGTGCTGCAGTTAAAAGTTAAAGAGTGCCTCGGGAACACTGAGAGGATAGCACAGGTGTCCTTCTGTATCCATGCAGAAACAGTTCCAGGACCCCATGGCTACCAAAATCCTCGGATGCTCAAGACCCTTATAGAAGATGGTGATAGTGGTACAATGAATACAGTCTGCCCTCCCTACCAATGGGCTGCATACCTGCGGATTCAGCCAAACCCAGATCGGAATTTTGGTTGAATCCGAGGGATGTAGGACTCGCAAACATGAAGGCTTGACTGTAATTAATTCAAGGAAATTTTGATGAAAGAGGAGTGAGTCCGACACTGGCTTCCCGGTGTGCAGCCAGTGATTGCGAATGATGCTCATTATGAAATGGAGAAGCCTTAGCTCAGAGAGAGTGAAAGACTTAACTAAGTTCACACAGTTGGGTCATGTATGCGCCTAAGCTGAAAATCAAGTCTTCCAATTCCAGATCCTATGTCCTTTTAGCTACATCAAACTAGAAGATAACACAGAAGTCTGCTATGCCATTATTCAAGGCGGAAATAAATAAAGCACTTACCTCAAATAAACGTAAGACTTTGGCCAGCGCACCAACTTCTTCTTTGAGTGAGAAGATCAGGGATATGGCACCATTTTGATTGGAGTTGTCTTCAATATAGCTTGTTTCCTACAGGATTAAATGCATTTGGGTAAAATGTTTTTCACAGCTCAGCAATTCATTCCTGTGAAGCCTCCAAGGAAGAGGCGAGCATGAACTTCCTCTTCTGGTTAAGTCTTGGAATACAATGAGCTACATATATTCTCTACAGAAGTATATGTGTGGTGGAAAATAAGAAATCAAGGGAAGTAAAATGTTCAGTGGTGCTCTTAGATCAGACTTCAACTTTAGAAAGCTCTAATTGTTCACAAATGTCACCAGTTACACTATAGATTCACTGCCTTTTTAATGAGCACCTACCAAGTGCTAGGTACAATTAGGGCTCTGAGAGAAACAAAGATGAATGAGAGGATGCCCCATTCATCAGAAGTTCAAATTCTGACTTAGTAGACACATACACAGCAAATGAGATAAATTGAAAAAGATCTTAGAGGTGGTATAATATGGTACAATAATTGTCCCAGGAAAACATTGAGAAATACAGGGTGGAAAATACTAAAAATAGAACACACACAGTCTTTTGAGTCCAAAGACATGGGTTGGAATCCTCTCTCTTCCATTTACCAACCAGAACACTTTGGGATAGCTTAGGCTTCTGAACTTCCTCGTGTGTGAAAGCAGGCTAATCTGTAATCATGACAAGCCCTGTCAAAACAGTATTCAGACGATGAAAAAGATAACATAGTTTAAATATAATATTAAGAGAAATATGTAAAAATGATGGAAATATTAAGAATACCCACGAATGATTTCTTGGCCTTTGGCAAAGATGTCATGGGAACATTAAACTTGTTCCCAGATGCTGGGATCTGAGACACCAATTGTTGAAAAAGAGTCACTAAGTACATAAGAGCACATATATAACTTATTGGAAGATGGATGCCTTAAAACAGCAAAGAATGTCAAGGATCTAGCAACTTTCTACATGCATGTGACAGCAAATTAAGGTGGAACTAGGGTTGCCATTCCAGAAAGGGTTTGCCAAAATCTTTTAAAATTTTAAAGTTAAGTGTTAAATTAAGTTTTACAATAATACATAGAGTTCCATGTGTGCTTTCAAATAAACAGCATATACCTAAAACTGGGGGGGAAAAAAAAAACCCATGCAGAACAATTACTCTCTTGTAAGCAAGTTAATGAAATTAGTGGAATGGCTGTTACATCATCTCCATGAGAAGGCTGTGCTGGGCAGGGTCTCAGTGACTTAGCATCATAAGCCCTGTATGAACACGGATGACCCTCAGGATGAAATTCTTTTCAGATTTTCCCAGAACCTTACCTGAAACAGAGGTGCAGGGGAAGAACCAGAATTATCAGCAAGTGTGATCAGAGGAAGCCTTAAATGAATTGCAAAACTGAACTGCTATATATCCTTATATGGACCATGATATTATCTTTCTAAAAATTTTTTTAATCTACCGTACATTAAAAGCCCCTATAATGTCCCAGATATTATAATAAGCACTTGATTTGGATTATCTCATTTAATTTTTTTTTTTTTTTTTTTGCGGTACGCGGGTCTCTCACTGTTGTGGCCTCTCCCGTTGTGGAGCACAGGCTCCGGACGTGCAGGCTCAGCGGCCATGGCTCACGGGCCCAGCCGCTCCGCGGCACGTGGGATCTTCCCGGACCGGGGCACGAACCCGTGTCCCCTGCATCGGCAGGCGGACTCTCAACCACTGCGCCACCAGGGAAGCCCTATCTCATTTAATTTTGATAACAATCTAGAAAGTAGGTTTTACTACTTTCCAAGTGCCCCTTTTATTGATGACAAAATGAAGGTTTAGAGAAGTTAAGTAACTTGTCCAGAGTTGCATGGTTAGCAGTGGAACCCATGCCACTGGATCCCAGCATGCTGTCCATGATTCACAGCTTCCTGCAGGCTCTGCTCTACCTTCTGTCTCTAGTAAACTCTGCCAGAGACACGCAGAGCAGTCTCTGATGTCAGTCTTCTTCCTAGGAGAGGACACTGAGCCCTCAGTTCTTTCCAGTTTCCTTGAAATGACAAAAGATTTCCATTTCTAGTTCACTTGGCAACATTCTCCTCTCCTGTTGGCCTCCAAGAAAGGGAGCATATTTCTGACACACCTCAATGGATGTCACCTATGACTGGGGCAATTCCGACGTGAACGCACCGTGCTCGAAACTGTCATCCACCACTTTCCCACTCCTGTGTGTGTCCAGCCAATCACCAAGTCCAGTCTGACCTTCTCCAGAAATGATGCTCGGGGTCAGGTCCTTCTTTGGTTCCCACTGCCACCACAGTAATCCAGCTCTTACTGATCTGCAGTGATTGAGCCCTGCTAGCAGAATTTTGCTCACGTCCTTATTCTACTCAGTATTCTTTAGGGGCTCCCCATGGCCAACAGGATACAAGACCTCTTTGTGATATTCAAAAGTCCCCTTAGTACCCCACCTCCTGAGCTTCACCCACAGGAACCTCCCCTCCAGAAAACTGGTTCCTCCTTGCCCTTTCAACTCCTCATTAGAGTAAATGCACTGCATCCCTCCCTCTCCCCCTTTCAAATACATCATCTTTCCTCAAAAGCCCTCTTGGGTCTCACTTCTCTCAGAAAACCTATATACTCCTCAGCCAAGGTGAACAATCCCTCCTTGATCTGTTTGTTCCATTTGGCCTCTGATACCCACATGGGACTTGATAACTGACTCAAAGAGGTGGACTTGTCTTAAGAGCTCGTCTAGTTCCACACTCTCATTTTTCATATGGGGAGACTATGGGCCACCTGAGATCATCACACAGGCAGTGGGTGGCAGATTAAGAACTCAGGCTCCTGCTATGGAAAACAGTATGGAGTTTCCTCAAAGAACTAAAAATAGAATTGCCATATGATCCAGCAATCCCACTCCTGGGCATACATCCAGACAAAACTCTAATTCGAAAAGATACATGCACGCCAATGTTCACAGCAGCACTATTCACCATAGCCAAGACATGGAAACAACCTAAATGTGCATCAACAGATGAATGGATAAAGAAGATGTGGTACATATATACAATGGAATATTACTCAGCCATTAAAAAGAATGAAATAATGCCATTTGCAGCAACATGGATGGGAGCTAGAGAGTGTCATATAAAGTGAAGAAATTCAGACAGAGAAAGAGAAATATTGTATGATATCGCTTATATGTGGAATCTAAAAAAAAATGAACTTATTTCAGACTCACAGACTTAGAGAATGAACTTATGGTTGCCAGTGGGGGAAGGGTGAGGGGAAGGGATAGTTAGGGAGTTTGGGATTGACGTGTACACACTGCTGTATTTAAAATGGATAACCAGCAAGGACCTACAGTATAGCACAGGGAACTCTGCTCAATACTCTGTAACAACCTAATTAGGAAAAGAATTTGAAAAAGAATAGATACTTGTATATGTATAGCTGAATCACTTTGCTGTACACCTGAAACTAACACAACATTGTTAATCAACTATACTCCCATGTAAGATAAAAAGTGAAATAAAAAAGAAGTGTTATGATGGAGAAAAAAAAAAGATGTGGTGTATATATATATACAATGGAATATTACTCAGCCATGAAAAGAATGAAATAATGCCATTTGCAGCAACATGGATGGATCTAGAGATCATCATACTAAGTGAAGTAAGCCAGACAGAAAAAGACAAATACCATACGATATCACTTATATGTGGAATCTAAAATATGACATAAATGAACTTCCAAGAAATAGAAATAGACTCACAGACATAGAGAACAGACTTGTGGTTGCCAAGGGGGAGAGGGGGGTGGGGGAGGGATGGATTGAGAGTTTGGGATTGGCAGATGCAAACTATTATATATGGAACGGATAAACAATGTCTTACTGTGCAGCACAGGGAACTATATTCGGTATCCTGTGATAAACCATAACGGAAAAGAATATGTATGTATATGTCTGGCTGAATCACTTGGCTGTACAGCAGGAACTAGCACAGCGTTCTGAATCAACTATACTTCAATAAAATTAATTAATTAACAAAAAAAGAACTCAGGCTCCTAAATGTCATTCATTCTATACAATTCCCTCTGCTGTGGACACAATGTCCACATTAAAGGCTCTGTTTCTTGCATAGTAAGGGCTGTACTCTGGTCCAATCACCAGAAGGTTACTCAATACCACTCCTAACAGCCTATACCTTACCCACGTCTGTCCCCTTTCACTTTCGTCATTCTCCCCATATACTTTCTAGATCAGGGTTTCTAAGTGGGTGTTCCTTGGGTCTCCACTCCAAAATTACCTCGTGATTCCTTGTTTGAATGCAGATTCCTGGGCCCCACCCAAACCTACCAAATCAGAATATTTGGTGTAGGATCTTAGAATCTGCATTTTCAAAAGCATCGCAGAGGACTCTTAACCATGGAAGATTTTGAAACCACTGATAAATATATAGCCTATTTTTTTAAATTATGACTTTTCTCATCTGTGTCTGCAAATTCACATTTACCATAAGGCACTACTCTTTATTGTTATTAATATTGAAAGTAGAGCCGGCCATGACTGAGTGCCCACCATGTGCCCGGAGCCATATCTGGTACTTTTAACAGTTAATAAACATCACCATTGGTAGAAACTAGCACTGGCAGAAAAAAAGAGTTTACATATAATAGCTTATTCAGTCCTCACGATTGCCCAATGAGATGGGTGCTGTTATTTTGAAAATGAAGGAATAGACTCAGCAAGACTAAGTGGCTTGTCCAAGGACACTCAGCTAACGAGTGGCAGAGTCTGCATGTGAACCCAGGTCCAACAACTCCAAAATCCTTAATCCACCCCCCAGTGACCCAACTGGGAAAATAGCTTCCCTTTTCAAAGCTTGAGGGACTTGAAATGAAAGGAAGCCCATGGAATTTTGTGAAATGGTGTGGCCTTGAGTGGATTCTGATTCCAGCATTGTTATGCGGATCAGCATGAGATCTTGGACAGACCTCTTCCAGAACATGTTTATAATGGCTCATAATCTATACTTTATTTGTTTCCAATAGACATATGAGTTGACTTAGAAAGACATGTACACTCAGGACGCACAAAGGTAGAGAAAAGTAGCTCCGAAACTAGAAAAGAAGGAAGAGCAGGGAGAAAAAACTTTACTAGCAACCAAGAAGGAAAGGATTTTGATCACTGAGCAATACCCTTAACAATAGAAATACATTCTCTTTGGTTGTGTCTAATAAAATACATTCTGTTATCTTTGGAAAAGAGCAGTTTTCACAATTACCAGCAATTTATCTGTAGCAAGGATATTCCAGCGGCACTGACTTTCAATTGTAGTGCTTTTTGGGGTCATGGGAGGAGGTGTGTATTCACATGTGTGATTATACATACACACAGCTACAGTGTAAGACACTCAAAAACAAGATGCAGACATCCTGCCTTGGACATACTCTGCCTCTGTGCTCCAGAGTTTATGTACAGGAGGAAGCGGTGTAGTGGAGGAGTGCACAGGGTGTTGGGAGTCACATCTGGGTTTGAAACCTGGCTTTGTGCCATTCAGAGCTGTGATTTCTGAGTTCCCTTAATCTTTTAATCCATCACCCTGTTCTATGTTCTTTACAGCACTTATCTCTACATGAAAGTATATGTTCATTTGGTGAATTTATTTTACTGTCTGTCTCCTCCACAAGAATGTAATTTTCATCAGGGCAGAGGTTCTACTGTGCCTGGCTCAGAGTAGGTGCTCAGTGAGTCTTTGCTGAGTGGATGAATGAGCTGAACATCTTTCGCAGGATTGTTGTGCTCGCGGGTGGAGACCAGCCTTATGTCAGGATTACATCTAGTGTGTTCTGTTCATAAATGTGTCTTTTTTGCAGATCGTCAGAGCTGGAAGGAGTCCTGAAGACTATTCTAGTTCAAAATCCGCACCCCACCGCCAATTTTACAGATACCAGACTGAGCCTCTCCAGCCCGATTAGGTGACTTTCCAGTACATAGCTTCAGTAAACCAAACACGAGAGCCCACAACTCCTAATTCCGGGTCCGGCATCTTTCCACTGCAAAGCTCCACCAGCCACTGTGCTTGACCCAGTGTGTGTTCCTCCTGCCAATGTTCTGATGCATTCTGTTGAACAAACAAATCATTTCTGGCTAGACACCCCTGGCACTTTCCTGTGCTCCAGGAAGTGTGCTAAGACCTTTATAGACATTATTTCACTTGATTCTCATACTAACTCTAGAATGTGCATATTTTTATTCCAATGTTTCATATGAATAGACCTGAGGATCTGCAAAGTTAAATCTCTTGCTTTCAACACACGGGTGTTACAGAGCACTCTCTAAACCCTCCTCTTTACCCCCAGTCACCGACAGTGACAATTTGTGGTTCTCCATCTTCTAAGTGCTCTACAAATAAAACTTTAGTCCCCAGAGCTCCCTAACCAGATCGCTGGCCCTAACCTCCCGCCATAGTCACGGGGGCCCCACGGCCAGCAGCACAGAAGCTAAATGATGGCAAAGCTGGCATCTGTTCCGGGATCTGACGCCCATGCCGTCCCTCTTCAACACGAAGTTCTGTCTCCCAAGCCCTACGTACCATTTTCAAAGGAAGTCTTTCTTTCAGGACTCAAAAAAAGTTAGTCCAAAGTTCTGCAGTCTCTAGTTATACTAAAACATCAATCATCCTCTCCTGTCCAGGCTCCCTGTTCTCTAGATTGTTCTCACTAATCCTACAGTTGACAGATGCCTTAGACCCACGTTATCTCCCAGGGCTGGGCTTTAAGTCTGAACCCCAGAATCCGGGAGTGTGATCAGTCGATTAGAGTGTGTTCTGCAGTCGTTCGCCTCAAGGGAAAGGCAAAAGTTCTAGCGAACGGAGTACACCCTGGACATTATCCCTGCCTGCCACGTTTAGGGCTCTCTTACATTCCAAGTCCAAGGCTAACTCTTGTGCATTTTCCTCTCTTTTTAATTTTCTTCTTCCTCAGGTCTGAGTAAGTGTGAGACGTCTTCATACCCCATTTTCTCCCAAAGGTGAAAAAAAGCTACAATTTCTCATAATTTTGCCATTTTGATACCTGGCTGAGAACACTTATAAACATCAAAGAAGAGCAGATCTGCATGGACCCCAACTGCCACTCCAGATTGTCAAGGACCAGTTTACAGAAGATACAGGCAGTGATTTGTCCAAAGACAGGCAACTAGCTGGTGGCAGCTCTGGAAGCCAGCTCCCTGACTCCTCAAGCCGTGCTCTTTCCCTGAAAGCCACACGGGACAGATGTCCTCTCACTGGGAAACATCTGTTGAGCACGTGTTATCTGTCAGCTTCCTAGACATTTTCATCATCTTCAAGTGAATTCAGCCTTCCTGGTGAGCTCACGGGAGTAGGAAAACCCAACACTCCTCAGACCTCTTTCCACCGGGGGCCAAACTCCCCTCCCTGCGCAGCTAAGGCCCGCCCTGGCTCACCTGTCCGAAGTCGCTGAGTTTCCTGACCGAGCCTCCGTTCTCCAGGACCACGGCTGACATGCTAGCTCCCGGCGCGTGCGGTCTCCGGAGCTCTGGGGCGTCAGTCGCAGGCGGGTTTGCAAACAGTGCAAACAGCACGTGGTGCTGAGGTTTTTAACCTGGCGTTAGGGAGGAGAGATTCCAAGGTGTCTCCTGCCGCGCTTACCCGCCACAGTCACGCCCCCGGTGGGCGTTGTCCTGACGCGGCGAGCTCCGGGTCACCCCCGCCTGGACCGCTCGGAGGGGAGGGGCAGGGGGAGCGGGCCGGGGAGGGTGTGGCTGGTGACGGGAGTACGGACTTGGCTTGCCCGCCTTGGACGGAGGAAGGCCAACAAGAGAACGCAGGGCCAAATGTGCCCTGGCGATTAGACAGGTTTGGCACTTCTGGGACTCTCAGAAGCCTGGGCACGGGTTCTCTGCGATTGGTGAAAACCTGTGACAGCCGGATGATAACCTTTATAAGAAACAGAGCCAAGATCTCAACTGAGATGGGGGAGGGGGGATTCCTTTCTATGTTACCACTAAGGAAGCTGCCTTTTTTGTGCTCTGACTTCAGAACATTACTTATAGGTGATGCTGTGAACGCTGGGCACAGTGGCTAAGGAGCAAAGAGAATAATAAGATAAACGACCTGGGATGAAATGCAGCCATGTGTCCCGGAGCTGTTTACATCACTGCTGGGAGCACCCAGAAGAGGACGCAAGCTCAGTCTTGCCAGGATGTTTTAAGAATGTGGATAAGAGAAAGAATGAGGTGATGCATTTAACACTTAGTACAGTTCATGCCATATAGTTAAACACTCCATAACTAGAAGTTATTGCCTAAAAGTATGCAACAACAAATGCTTACTGCGGACCCCTCTGTTGTATGCCAGGTGGTACTGGGGATACAGCAGTGAATTAAGTGGAGGACCCTGCCTCCTGCCCACACCCGTGCTGCCATTCTGGGAGGGAGACAGAAAACAAACAAATAAGTTTAGGCAGAGCTAAGCCTTCTGAAGAAAATAAAATAGGGAGATGGGCTAGTAGGCAGGAAAATGTCATTCACCTCAGTTTTTTCAGACCCAGGAACTGAGACGAGGCATTCATTGCCACCAGGCAAAACAAAATATAAAAGAGCACTGCAGAGTCAGAAGTTCAGAAAGGATGTGAAAAAATCAAGGGCATCAAGACCTTGAGTGCCTGCCTAATATTTAGCCAGGAGAGGGCAATGGGCTAAGAGAAAACAAGCCAATAATAGAGGTTGCTAGAAATCCGCCCCCTCCCCTCCCATAATCCTTTGACGGAATGACCAAGCACCTTCCAAAAGAGAAAAAAAAATCTCAGATTCAGGATTCAAAACAAACAGATGAACTCCTGATTCCACCACTGATTAACTTTGGTCAAGTCCATGCCTCAGTTTCTTTGTCTTTAAAATGGGGCTTTAAGCGTTGCTGTTTAGGATTCTTTGAGCCTGTATGATGTGCCAGGCTTTCTACTGGCTGCTAAGAAGACAGATATACATTAAGTGTAATTTCTGTCCAAAAGAAGTCCTTGGGTGTGTGATTAATATTCTCTGTGGTAAGTTGGAAGATCAGTGTTTTTGAACATGGAAGGGCAAGACCTTGACTTCCACCCTCAGGAGAATAGGTATCCTTTATCTGACTCCAGTGGTTTTCTAGTGTGGTAGACATGAAATGAAGAGTTTTACTGCACCCTAGGATTGCCTTGCAAACATCACGTCAACCCTTGATGTTGCTGGCGTACTAAGGAGAGCAATGAATGTGACAGCGCCTGTTGTATTGCCATATAACAGGCATGCAATGAATGAAAACAGCAGAAACAGCTACTTACTTACATGCACATTGTATGTTAGACACTGCCAAGCTCTCCCCATGCATGATTTCATTTCTTCCCTCATAAACTTGAACCGTGCACCCCCACTTTATAAATAAGGAAACTGAGACACAGAAAGTTTAGATAAGTAGTTCAAAGTCAAACTACATTTCACCCAATTCCAAGACACTGGCTCATAAATACTCTTCCTTCCCTTTTTAAAATAAGACCAACACTGACTTTTAGGACAACAAAATAATAGCACACTTCTCTTTTCTTTTCACACCTACTAAAAATGGAATTCTTAATTTCCTCTCACATAAAAATGCCCCGGATCTGTGTTGGGAGGAGAGCACAACTAGTTGTCTGCTACTTCAGAGAAAATCACTTAACAGCTTCTTTTAAAAATTATTCTGGCAAAAAGGGAAAATGTATCCATGAAATAAGAGAAAAACCCACTTGGGATGAGATTGATGGTGACATGAATTTTGTAGATGATTTTCAAACTATCATTTTAATTGGGATGGAATATAATGTGTTGCTGTTATGAACAAGGGCAGTGCTGAGTCCTAAGAAAATTGATGTAGAAGGAACCTTCAAGAATTCAGCCTATAGACCACTGAGATATTGTGAATGGCCAGAAAGGGGTGGGCACCATGTCGCAAGATGTGCAGTTGTGTACCTGGTAAACTTAGGGCTGACCTTCATTGATTTGGAAGTTGAAGATTTCCCAATCACTGCATGTTATCAATCACTTTTCATTTAACCTCACAGGTAGAGAAGTAAGTTAATCATAACCTCTGAGTTCATGGCCAAAAATCAAAGCTTCCAAGGCTCCTCTCTTGTTTTATTTATTCATTCTCTTTTATCTTCATTCCCCACTCCCATTCCGTTACCCCAGAGGCCACATCCTTAACATGTTTTAATATTTAGCCATGGATTTGTTAAATGCAGGGAAATATTGGAGTGTGTATGTATTTTTCATGGATATGAGTGATGTCGTAGTATAGATTTACTATGGTATATACATGTACTATAGATTTCATGGTTTCTAACTTTTTTCTTTCAGCTATGTTCTTAGGATGTAGCCATGCTGCTGAATGTACTGGTTCTTTGTACTTTTAACTGGAGTAGAGTATTCCACCGTGTGTATCCACCACATTTGATTTCTCCATTCCCCAGTGATGGACACCTAGGCTATCTCTAATTTTCCACCACCCCAAACAATACTGCAGGAAGCATCCTCATCCTTGTCCACTTATATACCTGTGTGAGAATTTTTCTGGGATAGAAGGGTAGGTTCCTGAATCATGGGGAACGTGCGTTCGTAATTTCACAAAGTACTGCCAGACTGCCCCTTTGAACAGCTTGTACTCAGTCCACACTCCCACAAGTAGGGCAAAAGAGTTCCTGTTGCTGGGTATCCTCAGTATTTGGCTTTTTCCAAGTGTCTGATTCTTTGCCAGTCTACTCAGTGTGAAAAGGTATGTTCTTGCTGTTTTTAATTTGCATCCCTCCTCTAACGAATGAGTTTGAGTACCTCTTTCTACACCATGCCACATAAGATTTCCCATACTTTCAATAGTTCATTATCAAATACTTTGCCTATTTTTCTGTTGGGTTTCCTGGTTTTTGTCTTGATTTGCAGGAATAATTTGTATGGTCTAGATATTACCCTCGTGCCTTTCTCAAGTCACAAAGATACCATCTCCCAATCTATCACTCTCAGTTAACTGTCAGCTGATGTCTTTCCTTGGGAAAAAATATAATTCAGATGTAATAAAAATCCATCTTAAAATAATGCTGTGGTTTGTGCTATTGGGGTCTTTTTTAAGAAGTCCTTCCTCATCCCTAAGTTGCTAAGATATTCTCTTCTTCCTTCTGTCATCCTTAGAGTTTTCTCTTTCACATTCAGATCTTTAATCTTTCTATATCTCTTGTATATGGGATATGGTAATCACCCAGTTGTTTTTTCTTCTCCCTCCATATTATGAGTCAGTTTTTCAATAACATGGGCAAAGACTTTTCCCCAATTTTTAGGTCAGAATTTTCTGAGTTGAGATGAAATTGCCATTTCTACCTGAGTCTTTCTCTAAAGCTTAATTTTATTCCATTGGTTTATTGCATTATGTCTCCTCTTGCGTCCATATCATACTGCATTTATTATTACAATATGGTTTGGTAGTATATCTTAATATCTGGTTGTCAAGTCTCCCTTCTTGACTGTATTTTTTCCCAAAGTTTATTTGTCTATTAATGCACACTTATTCTTCCATATTTCAGCTGAGACATTAATTGCTTTAACTCTGAATGTATTGGCTAATCTAGGGACACTTGTGTTAAACAGGAGTAGTCAAGAGTAGACATACATGCTAGGTCCCAATTTGTTATGAATGCAGCCAAAGTTTCTCCATCAATATTATGCTAAATGTATGTTTTTGATGTTATAACCATCATCAGATTTATGAAACCCTCTCTTCCCCCTGTGTGCTGAGGCTTATTTTTATCATAAAGCAATGAATTTAGAAAATGCTTTTTCTGCATCTACTGAGAAAATTATGTGACGTATTCCTTTTAGTCTATTAATGTGATGAATCACATTGGTAGATTTTTTTAGATGTTAAACTCTTCTTACAAACTAGGATAAACCTTCCTTAATTATGATATATTAATTTTTATTACACTATTAGATATGGTTATCTTATGTTTTATGTAGGATTTTCCCATCTCTGTTTATTAGTGAAATGGAACTGCAGTTTTATTACTTGTACCATCATCATCCTATTTTGACATCAAGATTACAGTAGCCCTACAGGAGGACTTGTACAACTTTCCCTGTTTTTATAGTTTCTGGAACAACCTATAAGATAGAAATTATTTGTTTCGTGAAGATTTGGTAGGGTAGGACCTCTTGTAAATATACTGGACCTGAAAGTTTGGGAGGCAGGAAAAGTAATAGATTATAGTTCAACTTATTTAACTATTATTGGCATATTTATGTTTTCTGTTTCTTCTCATTTTATATTTTTTTCAGAAATTAATTCAGTCTGCAAGGTCTCAACAAAACTAACATATTATTGTTCAAAACATTCTTTTCTTATTTTGTGAAGTTCTATTGTGTCTACATTTATTTTTCCTGTTTCATTTTGTATTTTGTTTATTTGAATCTTCTCTTATCCTGCCAGATGTTTGTCCAATATGAGTCAGCATTACATAAGACTGCTCCTCTTTATTTTTTGTGTTGTCATTTATTTCATTGTTTCTCCCCACTTTTCTTTATTATGCCTTTGTTTGAGCTTGTTTTG